AGGGGAGGTGGCTGAGGGACGGCTCACTCCAAGGCTGGAGCTGGGCCCAGAGGAGTGGCCTGCGTTCGGCCTCGGGCTCCCCAGCTGCGAGGTCCCGCTGGGGTGTCTGACTTAGGCCTCCCATGGGGCGTGTGTCTCTGACTTGGCCCCAGACGACCTCTGCACCCCTCGAGCAGCTCCCTGGGACTAGGACCAGCCCCCGGCCGTTGTCACAGCGACCGCAGGCCTCTGAGGGGCTCCAGGCGGGTGCGTGTGCGCGGCTGGGCCTGGGTGTCGGACGGAGCTGTGCAGACGGCCGGCGAGCCCCTCCGTGGGGCAAGCCCACCACAAACCTGACCCGTCCGCGTCCACGGAGCCAGTCACGGTGATGCCAGTGGAACCAAAGACAGTCTCACCCAGCGTCCTGTTCTGAGTTTGTAACCAGTCCGATCACCCCGCCGTGGGCCAGGGAACCCAAACACCCGAGGCGGAAACTCAAGGCCCTGGCCTTGTCATCTGGCCAGCCCCGAGCCGACATCGCCGCGCAGAGCAGGGCTTCCGAAGGTCCACAAAGCCGTCGTCAAAGGCAAGTGTTATGTCGGGGAGACAACGTCGCCCGGCTCTGAGAGAGTCCTTGGTGCCCAAAACTTACAGACAGCTGCAAAGTGAGAACCTGTGCACACCTGAACCGCACCGGCCAGGGGCGGACACCGGCCTGCGCAGCCCAAGACAGCCCCGCTCTCGGCGGCGCTCACCATCCCAACACCACCTCCGAGTTTCTGTTAGGTTTTCAAACGAGGCGTTGAACTTGACAGAGGCGTGCTGTGAATTCATCATTCAGTGGGTTCTAATAGAATAATCGCTGGCAATTACTCGGCGTATAAAAACGGCTGTGCAAATGTCAGGAACATCCACGGTGCGCTGGGTGGTTTCAGGGCGAGAACTTCCCGTTCCCGCAGCCCAGTTGCATCATCAGGAGCGGACCCCCCGTGCTTCCTGCCCCCACACGACCCGGGTGCTGGGGCAGGAAGGATGTCCCTGACTGTGCCGTCTGTGTGAGCTCCGGGGCCTGTCCCTCCCTGGCCGTGGGGCTGAGCGCGGCTCCGGTTTGGATGTCCTTTCATCTGTCGGACCCGGGACTTGTCCGGGTGCTGACTGCCGCTCCAGCCCTCGGAGCAGGTGGCGGATCGAGAGAAGGAATATCCAAGGGCTCCTCTGACCCTCCCCTGCCCTCACCCTTGAACCAGCTCCGGCTCCCTCGCAGCCTGGGCGCCCCCGTCCCCAAGGTGCGCACAGGAAGGAGGTGTGTGGCCCAGTATCAGGGCTCGGGTGATTCTCAGCACTGATCTTCCAGGTTCTTGTGTGCGTCACGTTCTCTTCCTCCTGGGTCAGCCAGCAGGGCAGGAAGAGTGGGGAAGCCCCGGGGGTGGGGTGGGGGGGGTCATCCTCTTATCACAGGGCTGGGGAACACTGTTCCGGTTTCTGCCCACTCGTGGAAAGGACGAGAGCCTGGAATGGGCCTGGCGGGGGACAGCAGGCCCGGAGACGAGTCCCCTGCAGGCTCTGCACCTGCCCTGCACCGTCTTGGGGAGACTTGCTTCAGAGGTTGCGCGAGGACTGGTCACCCTCTATCCCGGGGGTGGGACAAGGACCTGTAAGTCTCCAGGGCAACCGTCCCGGATGGACCATCTTGGGTGTCGCAGCTCCCTGAAGGCTAGGTGGTCCCAGACGGCGACTCTGTTGATCGAAAGGGTCCCCAGACACCCACGGGCTCCCCTGTGCCACAGGGCACTGACCCGCGGTGGCCCCGAGGACGCGACTCACGCCCTCCACCATGGAAAGAGGCCTGTCTGCACCTTCTAGTCGATCGTCTGCGTGTCCTCTCTCCACGGATGGCTGGGACGTCCGGCTCAGCTCAGCCCGAGAGTCCCCAGGGGGCAGGGAACGCGGCGAAGGGAACTCAGCATGAAATGACACAGGTTTGCGAAGACAGAGCGGCCAGTGACACTCTGGGCTGAGAGATGTCCGCAGGGCTGGTGCTCACGGACCCGTATCCTTCCCCACACTTGGAGAGGTTGGGGGACCGAGCTGGGCTGGAGCAGTTAGCAGGGTGACAAGGTGCCGCCAGCTGCAGACGGAAGGACAGGGGCACGACCAGCCTGGACTCACATCCTGGCGCAGCCCCGCTCTGGGTCCCCAGACGAGTGCTTTCGTGCACCCTCTCCGAGCCGTGTCCTCGGCTGTCACAGAGGAACAGAACCGCCCGCAAAGGGCTGTGCACGGTGCCCCAGAGGACTTGGTGGGTGCCCCTCGCATCCGCCCTGCACGTAGTAGGTGTTCAGTAAGTGGCAGCTGTCATCGCCATTGGGTCACGCAGTGCTTGGGGCGTGGGAAGGCGACTGTCACCTGCTGACCGACGGTGCCATCTGGAGCGAGTGACAGCTCCTCTCTGGGCCTCACCTCCCCTGGAAAACGAGGCCGTGCTGGGAGACACGTGCATGTCCTCAGAGCTCTGACTTCTGGTTCTCGGATGCTGAGCCCGCTGCAGCCCGGGGCGCTCAGGTTTGGCCGGAAGCCCCCCAGGAGAACTGCGCTTGTGCCGGGGCCCCAGGACCGGCTCCTCTGCAGAGGGGCAGCCACCGGACCTCGCCCCTGCCCGGCCAAGGGCACGCCAGGGTCGCTAGTTTTCTCAGAAGGGAGACTCTACCCCCGCCCCCAAATCCACGAGACACAGACCACTTAACTGTGGCTTAAAGATGGAGACCGCTCCAGGCAGGACAATGAAACCCGGCCGAGGCCAGACTCCCCACGCGCCCACCTGGTCAGCTGCAGCTGCACAGCAGGGATAAGGCTCTGCTGCTCCCCAGAAACATGTTCCGGTGAGGCAAGTCCCCTCATACATGTCCACTTGGCGACCCCTCCAACACGCCCCAGAGTGGACGTGATTGAGGATCCGTGTCAACCTCGGTGGGCTCTCCCAGTGCCCCTGCACGCAGCCTCACACGTGTGGGCACAGACACACCAGCCTGGCTTCCCTGGGCCTCCCAACTAAGGTCCAGTGGCAGCCTGCACTGCTGGGCACCGCCCGCCTGGCCAGGCGGAGGTGCCCGGGCAGAGGGGCAGGGAGCAGGGGCTGGGGACACGCCTGGACGCATGCAGGCCAATGGCCTGGCCACCACAGGAAGCTCCCTGCCGGCAGGGACGCTGCCACTTGGACGCTTTTCCAGGCACAACATGCAGGAAACCAGAGCAAGGCTGAGAAAGGTCCCTCAAGGACTGGGTCCCCCCGGAAGCCTGGATGCCTTATCGGGACCTTATCGGGAGAGAGCAGAGAAAGCTGGTTGCCCCTCCTCGGCTGGGAGCGAGACAGGCCCCCTGGCTTTGCCTGGCACTCACCCAGGCTCCGTCGCCAAACCCTGGCCAGCAGCGGTGCTCGAGGACAGGACCCGGGCGAGTCCCAGACCAGGAGGGAAGGTGTCTGAGCTGCAGAAGGAAGCAGGCCTGGCCCGTCACCCACAGGCTGCTATGGAGACCGCATGCCCATAGCTGGTCAGCAGCGATGCTGCTTCTGCACGCACCCCGAGGCACCCAGCTCTCCTACAACGTGGGGAGTAAGCCCAGGGCCCCCCTGTGCTGCCTGGTCGGCTCCAACACAGGTGGTCACTGGGTGGCCATCTGGGAGCTGACAGACTGCTGTCCAGGGCAGGTTCACTGGATGAACCCCAAAATAATGACCTCCCTGGATGCAGGTCAGTCTTATTCATCCTTCACCCCAGTGACGAGCAGTGTTGGAGCAAGTGGAACACTCCCCGATGGTTTGTGGGTTGAATGAATGAAGGAAGGAGTCAGCCAGGCCCTAAGTGAACTTCGGGGGGCTCAGGGGGAGCAGGGCATAAACGGAAGCCATCCTGTCTCCTCTCTTCTCTCAGCTGTTTTCCTCTGGCTCGGCAGAGAGCACAGGCTCCCCTACGAAGCCCAGGCCGATCCGAAGCCCCCATCCCACTGGTCAGAGAGCGAGCATATCCCAGGCCACGACGGGCACTACCACCACGGCCAGAGCAGAGTCAGCGCTGTGACCCCGCTCCGCACCCCGAGACGCCTCGAGGAAGTCCACCTCCCAGGCTCCTGGCACTCTGCCCCGCGGGGTCACACACTTTCAGATCGGGTGGCGAGGGGCCTTGCAGCGGACAAGCCTGGGAGTCCCTGGCCCCCCCACATCGGACAGTAATTGCGATGCGAGCGGGTGCGGTGGTGACCACGAGGCCACGTGGCACATAAGGAAACCGTTACAGTAACAACGCTGCCGATGTAAAAATAGAGACATAGTTTCCTGGTTACCACATTCTAATTCTGACGGCTTTTCGGTGCCAGTGAAGTTCGGTTTCCTTTTGTCCCCTGCCATGCCCTGGTTCCCCTGCGTGTGTGTGGACTCCTTGTGGGAACCAGTGGTTTACTGTTTCGACGCCAGTCTCTGCCCGTCACCCTCCTCCCCCACTCTGTTTGCAGGGTCACAGTGGCCCTAAGTCTCCAGGCCGAGAGGGACACCCGACCACCTGCCCAGCAGAGGACAGTGAAGTCAGGAATGACAGGCCTCGGTGCCCAGCGACATCTGGGTCAGGCTGTGTCCTCTGCCCACTGGGGCAGGGCACTGAGCTGAAGCTGTGACAATTCTGGGTTTGCCTAAAGCAAGCTCGTCCCTTTCCTAGGACAAGTGTGCCTTTTTCTGACAAGCCAGAGGACAGAGCTGCCCCTGCAGTGTGAGGACCCTCACGTCGCCCCAGCATGGACCTCAGCTGTCCTCGAGGTATTTCGTCAATGTTGCAGGAAAATCAACACATACACCCCTAAGCCCTGCTAAGAGTTTAGAATTCGACCCATTGAGGACACAACCTACAGCACACTCATTCATTCATTCATTCATTCATTCATTCATTGATGCCGACGGAGCCACAGGCCGGAGTCTGGCCTGGGGATGGCCCAGAAACAGGCGACAGCATTACCCACAGGTGATGTACTGTGACTCAGGACGCCACAGGAAAGGTGATGGCACGGGAGTGGCCTGTTGAAGGCGGTCCAGGGAGCAGGACGGCCCTGGACGGCAGGCTGGGTGCCCTGCACTGTGAATCTGGACTCTGCCTGGAACCGGGCTCTCGGCTCTCACCCTCCAGCTTGTGGCTCCCCGACGGTTCCCCCAACCTGAGCGAGGACAAACACGGCACCCACTGGCCACTCTCCTACCCTGACCTGGAAGTGCTCCTGGATTGGAAGACCCGGCTCTGAGCTGATCAAGCCTGGCCAAAGCTCGAAGTGTAATGCCCAGTCGACGCCACACAGTGAAGAGATGTGTCCACCTGCTCGTCCAGGTGTGCAGTGGCCTCCCACCCCCCGAGGAGGCCCTTCTCCCAGAGCACTTACCCACGCAGGAGAAGTCGTCCTCAGCCCCGCCAGGTGGGGTGGAGTAGCCATCCGAGGCCCAGCTGCCCTGGGGGAGGGGGCTAGGTTCCTGGTCCGTCTGCAACCTGGTGGACAGAGAACGGAGGTCACTCACGGCCTTGAGCCTTGAAGGGCCGAGGAAACACCCTTACAGCCTGGTTCTCCTCTGCTGGCCCCTGGACCCCTAGGCCTGGGCCTCCATCACGGGCACATGCCCATGTGTGCCCGCTGGGAGGCAGCCGGTCTCTGGACAAAGTTGGGCTGAGGAATAGGGGGAGCCCCTGAGGGCACAGTCCAACAAGTTACACATCACCCATGGGGCCTGGGGTCTCAGGCCATGGTGGCTGCCCCCAGGCTGTGCATAGGCTCTAGCCACGTGCACCGCATGGGAAGAACTCCCTCCAAGCTGAAGTCACTGTCTCCGTATGACAGCTCAGGGACAAACAGGCTGGCTGGGCTGGCCCCCGTTCTGGCAGGGAGGTCGGGAAGAAGGGGTAACGTCAGCTGGGTCCCCTCAACTCCCAGGAGGATGTGTCGGGCTGGGCCAGCGGTAGCCACAGGCAGGGTGGGGTCTCTGGGCACCCGCTCCCGAGTGCACAGACTTCTGAGCCCTGCTGACCGCTCCCAGGAACACAGGCTGAGGGAGCTTTTATTACAAGCAATTACCCTGGGCTCTGGGAGCGGCCCGCCCACGGCTCTGTCTCCAGCTAAATGGGCCCTTTGGCAGCTGGGCAGGAAGGGGGTGGGGAGGTCTGTGTGGCAGGAGGAGACACTGATGCTGGATCTGGGGAGGGGACGAGGCCTGGGACCCTGTGCGTCTCCGATGCTGGGGACATTGCTCTCTCTCCAGTGTTTGCTTCTTCAACACTTAGACAGCCAGGCCTCTGGCTCAGCCCTGCTGTGAATGCACAGAACAGACCTCTTCCCTCCAGGGTCTCGCTGTGGGGTGGGACCTCAACCCCCGCGGCCCCGATCAGTCTGAGTCGGGCTGAGTTCCGGGGAGCAGTCGAGTAGACAGGGGTTGAAGTAAGGGAGGAACTCCGTGGGAGGAGGTAGCTGGGCGGCCTCAGGTGAGGTGTGAACCCATCACTGGATGTGGCGTATGTACAGAGCAGGCACAGTCTCACCCGGGCAGGTGGGCAACAAGCAGGATTAGGGACAGGCGTCCTTTGCTGCCATGGTTACCGCTGCATTATAAGGCCAGGGCGGGGAGGGGCACTGACCGAGGGGCTGTCCTCCACCCCGGGGGTGCTGAAGAAGGCGCCTGCACCTCCCACCTACAGCCAGACCCCACGTCTCCCTCACTTCCCAGCCTGAGTGGACAGGGCCGCCTCTGCTGGACGTTGGAAGGCTGAACCAGATGGGAAAAAAACAACAAGCCTACGCTCCTGACACCACTGACCGGACTAAAGGCAGCCGCAAAGGGAGGAGCAGATATCGGGGGAGACTGCACCCGGCAGGTGGGAACAGCACAGTGCTGGGGAGGCTGCTGAGAGCTCAGGACGAGGCTGAAGGTCCCTGGGACCACACGCGAGGCCTGGAGGATCCAGAGAGCAGACTGAGGGGCACTGCACCTCCCTGGGTCCCAGGAGCGCGTATCCCGAGGGGCGGTGGCTGGGTCAGAGAGGCAGGGGATGAACGTCACTGGCCAGGGCTGTCCTGCACCAGACCCTCGGCAGGCCGGGGCCGGGGAGGGGCCTGGCAGGCTCACTCCCTGAAGAAGCAGGTCAGGTCGACCAGGCTGGAGCTCTGCACAGCCGAGGTGCTGGGGTGAGGAGCAGATTTCCACGAAAGCAGATGTCTGTGTCTTCCAGGGAGCAGATGGTCCATCCTTGGCTACGGAGCTCGCAGGGTGGCCCAGCCTGGCCCTTGGCAGAGTTGTCCATGGCAGCAGCTCCAGGCCTGCAGGGTGTGCTGGGCTCCCGTCCACCTGCTTGCCGTGCCTTGGGCTGTCCCTGGTCCTAATCTTCCCTTGCCTGAACCATGACCCTACCTGCAACCGGAACCCAGGGCCTGGAAGGGCAGGGTCCAGGGGTGGGATGGTGTGACACCCGGCTCCCACCTCTGTTTGAAATGCAGTGTCCACGGCGTGGCTCTGTTTACGTTGCACTGAAACGTTCAGAGAAAGTTCTGACCCCTTTGGAAAATGTCAGATTCTAAATACAGCAGGAGCCTGGTAGGGGGAGCGTGGAAAATCTCCGTTTAACCCTAGACACGCTTTCCAAAGACCGAATTCAGGGCGAAGGGTGTCAGGTGGGAGAGGATGTCAGACTCAGCCAAGGCCTCTTGCTAACTGGAAAACAGCCCTGGGAGGGAAGGTCTGCCCTGCATCTGTTTCCTGGAGACTCCCGTTCTGTGGAGGGTCGTGGAGGGTCACCAGGGACGGAGGTGGGCTGCTTCTTAGGGAGAGGACACAGGGTGTGGGCTGCGCTGTCAGGGAGGTGCTTTGGGAGGTAGGAAGATGTTCCTTTGCTCGAGGAGTCCGGCGGGAGTCTTGCTGCCTTACAGCCCATGTGGAAACCTCTCTGGTTGGAAAGGGCTTCCGACTGGGCTTCTCATCTCTGAACACACTTCTGAGCACCACGATGCGACTCCGCCCCTCAGCGCTGAGGCCCCGCCCCTCAGACCTGCGACTCCGCCCCTCGGCTCTGAGGCCCCGCCCCTCAGACCTGCGACTCCGCCCCTCGGCTCTGAGGCCCCGCCCCTCAGCGCTGCAACTCCACCCCTTGACTCTGCACTCCGCCCCTCGGCTCTGCGGCCCCGCCCCTCGGCGCTGCCTTGTACAAAATAAACAGAGCTCATCTCGCGACCTGACCACCCTTCAGGCGCCTGGAAACAGCTCTCAGGGCTGGTCTGAGCCTCTTTTCCGAAGGACACTGCCCAGCTCCTTTCGTCATTCTCACGATGCATCGTCCTGCGGGTCGACCCCCAAATGGCCAGGCTTTCTCTGCGGGTGCTTTGTGTTCACCTAATTAAACATGGTGTCTGCACCTGGACACCCTGGGGGAGGCCTGGACGTGTGGGGAATGCGATGGGACCCCAGGTGTCAATGACTGTGGCAGCGCAGTGCCTCAGACTTTCCAGAGACGCCGTCACACCGCTGGCTTCTCATGTGCAAAGTCACGCCAACCCCCCACCCCCAGGCCCCCTGCTGCCTCAGTGGCCCCGGGTCCGGGTCCGGGAGTGATGGGAAAGCTTTTCCACATCCAAAATGTGAGAGTTCCTCCTCCCATGAGCACAGGGAAAACCCAGCAGGCAGGTCAGCCAGGCCAGAACTTCATTTGCATTTGAGTGTTTCTAGAATGTGCAAGCCTTAGTCATTAAAGCTGAGTTCACGTAATGTGGTCATTTGAGCCCAGAGTTATATTTTTATTGGAAAAGCCTAGTTGACTAGAGTGTCTGCTTTCCTGGGCTGTCGACTCGCCTCGTCTGAAGAAAGATGGACAGACCGGCTCGTGGACCATGTGGCTATGACAGTGGCCGGGCCAGCACCACCTCCAGCTGTCCCTCCACGACCATTTAGGAAGCATGACGTGCTGTCCGTGGTATGCCAGGCACAGAAGCAGGCATATGGTAATATGTAAGTGGAGAGAGAGAAAGAGCGACAGACAGACGACAGACAGACAGAGGCATTATGGGCTCACGCAATACAGTTCGTCTAACCCATGGGGTCCCGGGTGAGCCAAGCAAGACCGACCCACCTACCTACCTACCCAACTAGCTGCCGGAGCCTCCATAAGACCCCGAGATGCTGTGCCCTCACTTCCCGGACAGGGCAAGGGCACTTTAGTAGTACCCTCCTCCGGTGCCTCGGTTCCCTCTGCAGTCCCCAGAGTAGAGAAAAACCGGAGCTTGGATTGGTTCCCTTTCTACGTGTCTGAACCCACGACAGCTCTGCCGCCCGCCCACCTACCTCCTCCGTGCTCTGGGCCCCCTGGGGACCCGCTGCCCCAGCTCACCTGTACTGGAACGGGGCCACCGTGGCCGTGATGGGGGGGCTCTGCTGATGCACCGAGGAGAAGCTGATGGCCCCTGGGGCTGGTGAGGAGCGTCTGGTCTGCCCGGGGCTGCAGGCTGGAGAGGAGGGCCCCGAAGCTGCCCCAGTCTCAGGCTCCGAAGACCTGGGGACCCCAGAACCTCTATAGTTTTTATCTCTTTGATCTTTTCCCGGGCAGTTAGGAGGCTTCTGACCTTCATGAGTCCCTGGCATCTGGGTTTCCCCATGAGGGCTGGTTCGGGCTGGGCTCCTGCCCCGGGCCTGGCGGACTGGAATTCCTTCCCGGGCCACCTTCTTCCTTCCCTGGGAGCCCTGCGTCTCCCTGGCTCTTCTGGGGCTAGCCCGGCTGGATGGGGCTGCTTTGGGGGTTGCCCTGGGACTGCCCCATGGGGAGCTGGAGAGGCTGTCAGCACCCTCGGGCGACTCTCTTGCCACCCCAGAAGGCTTCGGGGAGCCTCTTCCCCTGGAGGCCTTAGGAGAGGAGCCTCTGGGGTGGCTGGCAGCCTTGCCCAGCCTCGGGGAGGCGGCTCGCTGTGGGCTCAGGGCCAGGCCAGCCTGGCGTGGCCGCAGCTGGGGAGAGGCACCCGGGGTGTGGATCCGGGTCTGGGAAGCAGCTCGAGGCACAGGGATGGAGGAGGCGAAGTGCGGGCGGCTGGCTGAGTTCACGTTGGCCATCCCATTCATGGTCAGCAGGGCCGGCGGTGTGGACTACAGCCCTGCAGAGAGAGGAGAGAAGACCGTTAGGCAGTGTCCCCAGCTAGGTGTGTAAAGAGGACTTTGGGGCGGGAGGCCCCAACACGAGGCTGGGCATGGCGGGGTACTGGGTTCCCTGCCTGACTCGGGCAAATCCTTGCCTGGCCAGAAAGGGCTGCAGGACCACATGCAAACAGGTGAAGGTGCTTTGTGACTTGCAGCATGCTGGCCAAATGGGGTCCAGTCACTGCACCTGACTCCGCTCCTGCCCACTGACCAGGGCAGACTCTCCCTCTCGCCTCGCAGCCCCTCCCTCAGCCTCCCCGGCTCCTGGAGTCCAGCACGTCCCTGTGAGCCCACAGCCTGCGCCCCAGCCTTCTCTCTGCACGTCCCTGCTACCTGCCACGCCATCTGGAAGCTGCCCGGACCCCAGCAGATCCCACCAGGCCCAAAGTTGGGGCCGATCACAATGCCCCCAAACCATAAACTTATAAATACCCCCCCTCCCACTTCTGCCACCTGGCTTGAACCAGCCACTGGTCCTCCTCACGGAGGCCACCTCTCCTGGCTCCTCCCACTGTCCCCACCTCTCAGTCACTAAATATCTGGGCACCTGGCTCAGCCTTCTCAACGCACCTCCTGACCTGGTAAGCTGACCCCTACCACCCACTCCACTGGTCTCAGAGACCATGTCCCACCTTTAGATACAGGCAGGTCCTCTGTGCACCCCCAGCCCCTTCCCTTCCAGACCCTGATCCGTTAGCTGTCCCATCTCTGGTTTCTCAGCTTCCCCTCCCCGCCACGTTAATGAACGAATGAACTGACGCTGATTGCTTTCATTTCATAGGGAATTTGAAGCCAGTTCATCAGGAAAGGGGGTGCAGGGGAGCTTTGCCTTCAGAGTGAAAGCTCACGGGTGCTCACACCTCTGCACAGACCTCAGAGGACACCCAGCACGTCCCAGCCCTGGACCCGGTAACAGTAACTCTTTTCATTAAGACATTGTGTCTAATCCTTGCAACAATCTTACAAGGTGGGTTTTAGCATCCCCACCTCCTAGGTCAGGGGAACAAGGCTGAGAAGGTTGGGGGAGCTGCCCAGGGCCACGCACAGCTGGGAAGTGACAGAGCTGACTGAGACTGGGGATGTCGTACCTGCTAAATGCACATCCAAGCTCAGGACACACACGCAGCCTGACACAGAAGGAGAGTGCAAGTGGGGTTCTCACGGTGACCTCAAGGACAGAGACCCTTCTTTTCCAAGTATCCCTCACCCCCAGGTGCCCAGGTGTCCTGAGCCACCTGGTTCTCCCAGAGCCTCAACACAAGGCAGGAGGATGTAAAACCTGCGGCAGCAACAGGAAAGGCTGGACACGAAAACACCGTGCCCCCGAGTGGGAGGGCAGGAAGCGGGATGGTCTGGAACATGGGGAGTGGACAGAGTGAAGGCTTCTGAGTCAGGAAGAGCAGGGTTCAAGTCCCCACTCTGCTGCTTCCCACTATGGGGCTTTAGGCCAGTTACTGAGATTTCCTGAGCCCAGCGTCATCCGCAATGAGCAGGCACGGAGTCCTGTCAGGGCTGAAGAAGGGTATACAGGTAACCCCGGGCATGGTGCCTGGCATGGGACCTGGCATAGCAGGTGCTCGAGAAATGGCAGAAACCGTGTTAAGGAGCCAAATCCAGACACGGAGGCTGGTGGCTTCCAAGGTAAGTTGGCACAGCCTCAGCCCGCCATGGGGTACAGCCCCCGGCCCAGCACCCGCCTTCCCGCTCTGCGACCTGTCTGCTCTCCCACTCCTGCCCGTGTTTTGCTTCTCGTCGCACACGCGGATTCACGCAGGCATGGTTCTTGTGCTTGCCCTCTACGGGCGTGGCCCAGGCGGGCGCTGGTGCCGTTATCGTCGGTCTACTTCACAGGCGAGGGCTCCAAGTAGAGGACAGAGGAACTGGGTCCTGACCCTCCAGCTACTAAATGGCAGGGCCGAGCGTGGACCCAGACAGTCTGGCTCCAGCCTGTGCGTGTGACTCCCGTGCCCTGAGGCTCACCCTGCAGCCTGAATCCAGGCCTCCCCGTTCCCTTCCACCCCCAACACCCCAGCCTTTCAGCTGAGACCATTCTGGCTGCAGCCCCATCAGGACACATGGCGGCTACTGGCTCAGGGCTCTCTCTGCAAACCCAGAGCCAGGAAGTATTTTTGGCCCATAAATACTTCACTCGAGCTCAGAAGGTGGCGAGAGCTTCAGCACCAGCTTACTGGGCCTGGGGCCGGGCGGGATGAGGGGAGGGAGGACAGGCACTGTACCCGAAGGTCCTGCTCAAGTATGGGGGGCTCACCAGGCTGCAGGTCCAGCCCACGGTGTCCACGGCCCTTCTGCCCTTGAGAAGCCGCGGCAGGGCGGCGGCGCGCATGGTGCTGATAGGACAGCTCCCCCTGCAGTGGCCCTTGAAGGGGCTGTGTCTGCTTTCTCACGTGGTCAGGGGTTCATTCCCAAAGGTCAGAACAGCGCGCGCTCTCTCTCTCTCTCTCTCTCCCCTCTAGCCTCAGTCTGCTTGACCGTCTCCTGGTCCCTTGTTGTCCTTTCCCTTTGGCCCACTTCCCTCCCAGCCCCGGGGCATTCTCCCAGGCTCTGCAGCTGGGTGCTCACAGGCCCTCCCTTGAGAAATGGGCCCCAGCACCCCACTGCGTGCACACAACTGTCTTCCAACACGGTGGCTCCAGGCTGCACTGGGGCTGGGGGAGGGATTGGGACCCGTCCTGGGCCACACTGCTGGGTAACGGTGGTGCCCGAGGGGACTCCTGATCCATGCCCTTCCCCTGCCCACAGCTTCTCTTCCAATAAGACCCCAAGACGGGCATCATAGGGGGACCCCCAGGGCTGAGGACAGGGCTGCAATAGCCACTGACAGAATGTTTCTCTCCTCATCCAGCCTCTAATCCCTGCCCGTGTCTTGGAACAGATGAAGGAAGCTCTCGGAGTGGGGGCGGGCATAGTAGAGGGACTGGAGCTGTCTCCCTGCCCCACGGTCTCGGGCTGTACATCCTGGTTCTGAGCTCCAGCTGCCAGCTGGGGGCCATTCAGCAGGGCCTTGCCCTTGGCAGGAAGGACAGGAGGGGCAGCCAGTCACATCAGGGTGGGTTTGGGCAGAGGGCACGGAGCACTGGCGGGAAGCAGAGGAGGCTGGGGCACTGGCCTGGGCCCGGCAGGGGTGGGTGGGGGCTCAGTCCTCAGCGCCCGCCTGGCCGGCTCCTGGCTCAGAATGGGGATTAAGACTGTCCACTGTCCTCCTCCAGAGCCCAGGGCTCTGCCAACACCCTCAGGGACTCTGTTAGCCTTCAAACTGCAGACCCTCCTCCTCCTGGCCAGACGGCAGCCTGTTCTTGCAGAGGGAAGGTGGACTGGCCATGCTCAACTCAGGTGATGGCAAATAGGTCACTTTCCTGGCACTTCAGTAAGTCACCGAGCCAGTGCCAAGACACCACCTGCCAAGCCCAACATGGCCCATTTCCCCAAGTGCCACTCTGCCCAGACCTGGTGTTCCCAAGGCAGGTCCCCCCTCTGCTCCCTGAGGACTGTGCCCAGCCCCCTGACCACTCAGGCAGAGTCCAGGACGTGGGTGATCGCATGCAACCTCCCCACAGAGAGGTCCTCCAACTCCTGCCTCAGGACCTCCCACCCCACCTCTCGAAGCTGCGGGTTCTCTCAGCCTCTCCTTCCTGCTAAGAGTCAAGCTGAACCCCCTGGCTCTGCATGCTGGGGGGTTGTTTCTCCCAGCCTCTGGCCACAAACAGAGAAATGAATTCCGAGCTCAGGGAAGGGCCCACAGCTGAAGACTTGGGCTGTGTCAACCGACTGCCGTTTTCCACTGACTTGATCCATAGAAACAGCCCTCCGCCAGTCCCCGTGGTTCCTTGTCAATTAGCCAGGAGAAATGATTTAGTGCTAATGAAAACCAATGGTTTAAAGCCATCCCACAAATCGCCGGGGGCTGCAGGCCTCGGTTATAAATACCTCCCACGACGTGGAGCCGGGGCAGGGCGGGTGGTCACACAGGGCCGCTCTCTGCGGGGGCCCATGGCTCCACCCCTCTGGGTGCTCGGGCCTGTGGTGGACCCTCCTGTCAGGCACCGGAGCCTGGGTTTCTAAATCACAGGGTCCAATGCCCAAGCCCCTGGGGAGGTGCCTGAGGTCAGTCCAGGTACCACCTGCCTCATTTCCTTTCCCTCATTACTTCCTCCTGGCTGGGGTTACGAGAGGTCTGGCTTCTCCAGCAATAGCTTTAGATTCCAGATGGGCTCCGGGGCTGATGGATGGGGACCGGGCAGGACCGAGTGGAGCCTCAGGGGTGGGGGGCCCCTCGCAGACAAAGAAGTTGGAGCCGAAGTGGACCCCAGGCAGCCGGCCAGATGGCCGGTCTCCCTGCAGACCTGTTAGTTACATTCTCTCACACTTTATTATTACTTTTCTCCCTCAACTTAAATCCTCCAGTGTTCCTCCTGGATGGCTTTTCCAGCCAGGCAGATGGAGGAGGGGTCACTCGACAAGCCCCTCACACTGCTCTGGACCCGAGGGCAGGGCTACCAGGCCGGGGCCGGAGGGCTCTGAGGGGTGGGTTTGGACTGCTCTTTGAGCCTTCCAGCTTGAAGACCCTGCCCCTGGCAGTGTGTGGCCTGGTACCCCACCCGGAGCGCCCCGATCTGGCATTTCAAGCAGACTGGTCTCTCAGTCTGACTGCAAACCCATCAGCGAGACAGGGCTGTGAAGTGTGGACCTGAGGCCGGCCAGGTTAACCTTGACCTTCACCTAAGACTCCGAATGCGGGAGGGGAAGAGGGTGGTGCGGGAGGCAGAAGCTGGGAGTTGGTGGCAGGCCCAGCTGTCAACAGCAGCCCAGGAGTCAGACCAGTGGACCGGATCCCAGTGCCAAGTAACCCCCAGAGTTACTGCATCTCCCAGCCTTGGCTTCACCATCTGCAAAGTGGG